CACAGAGTGCGTTGTTTTACAAAAAGGCGGCCGTTTATTTCCGAAGTAAAACATGTTTCCAATAGTCTTTTATACTTTTGTCAATATCTAGTTTAATTAAAATTGGTATCTACAAACAAATCGGAGTACGACTTCCAATGAAAAGTTCGGTCAGAAATATTTCCCGCCAAAGCGAAGTGTTTTTTTTACCAATGTTTTCACATTTTTTCGACTTTCTACGATTGGCAATCCATGACTCACTAAAACACCCGCTTGCAGTAGTTAGCTGGACTGCAGGATGGAATATTTAAGCACGCCAAATCCATTTAAGCTAATTAATTTTACCCAGTACAGGTTGAATTTTCCCAAGAGAATTCTATCTTAGACGTCACGGTGCAGGTAAAAACGAGATGTATCCTCCGTGCTCTTGTTCTTTTTTTTTGCTTTGTATTTTTTTTTCCGTCGTGTAAAACATACTGCAACGATATAATGATCGAAGCTCTACCCTAAATTAATTTTGAGACTTTTGCTAACACTTCGTTTCCTTTCGGAACGCATGACACGTCATATATGTAGCCGATTGAAGGTCGGACGGTAGAAGTTCGCAAATGCGGATCTTTTTTAAAGGTTTCTGTCGTTTCTCCTATGGTATGTTTCAAAAACACGAACTGTTCTGTTTTTGGATCAGAAGAATTGCTAAGCAATGCGGGTGGACTCTGGTCAGTAATTCTTCCATTATCGTCGCATAAACTGATAACGAGATTGTCAAGGAAAGTCAGAGGTCAGCGAATCCTATTTGGCAGTGATACGAAAAGACAGGCTGGGTTACACCAATTTCAGTTGCCGCTATCCAACATGGTATCCGTTCCACGAAGAGACCACGAAAAAGAGAAGAATAGAACAAGAATCCCAAGACTTCTATATGCTGCTATGTCAGGTTTACCGGCGGAAATCTTTCTTGCGATCACTGTTGTTTTTGTCGGCGCAGGTTAGTGTACCTTCCGTTCTACTTTCCCAGTTTTAAATGGACACGCGCCTGCTCGCATTTACTTTGCAGTCCTGTTTTCCATATTGAACTGAAGTAAATGCAACTCTGTAACTTTATTTATACAAGTACACAGTTAAACAGGTTGATTTGTTTAGAATTGCGGTGCCGTGATTGTGAAATCTACACATTGTCCGTTTGTCAGTAATCTAATCAAAGTAAAAAGATTGAAATATTCCCTGTGAGTGAAGGTACTTTTGAATGCATGATTAAACCCCTGTTATCATCTTATTTTACTTTAACGGAAGCATATTGACCTGCAGAACGGAAATATGGTAATGAAAGAAGTTAAACCACTTTACTTCAGCAGACTCTCTTGTCTCTCTTGGCCTCAGAAAAACACGCAAGCAGTCGATTGTTTACTTCTTGTTGATGTTTTCGTTAAAATCCGGCTATATCAGCGGCGCGTTAAAAACCACGCGAAGAACAACCCAAGCTGATTTTGATACATGTTTTACAACAACATAAAAGTGTTTAGTACAAGGAACTAATAATACAAGGACTTTTAACGCCTATGCCCGCTTGCCCTTAGACCAACGCGCAGAAGTCCATTGTTTACTTTTCGTGATCTTTCAGGTAAAATCAGGGTTTTTCAGCCGGGCCTCAAAAAGCACCCGAAGAATAAGCCAAGCTGATTTTGATACATGTTTTACAACAACATAAAGGTGTTCTAAAGGCGAAGCCTCAAGGAATTTGGAGTTATGGCACATGTCGAAAAATATCTCTGAATTTTGTTCGTAAATTAGGAATTCGACCTAGTAACCGTATCAAGAAAACCGGCTCAACATTGATAACAATAGGCATTGTTATAAGACCTAAAATTGGTCTTATATGGCCATTTTGAAACAATGGCGGCATAAGCTTCTAAATACCCGCGGGAGTTTTTGAAATTTCCGATTACCATACGAGCGTAAAATTTAAACGATCAGAAAGTCTGAATGGAAGTCAAATTCTCCCGAGGAAAGATGGCACTGGTATAATCCTTCGGTGCAAATAGGGATTTTTTTAAAAATTGTGTGTTTATTCTCAAGCGGCGCTCAAGTCAAGTTCTAACCTGTTTTGGACAGCTGAACACTTTGTCTGTCAAGAAAAAGTATCGATAAGTGTTGGTTCTTCTTTACACGCGAACGCAAAGAAAGTTTAGATTACTAATTTTAAGCCTTTGCGATTGGCCATTCTGGTGACCGTCGAGGCGAAAGTCGTTTTCCTCGATTTTCTCAAATTTAAAGCACTTCGAGCTCCAAAAAACTATATCACGTTTCATATCTACCTAAGGGCTATTTGTGGACGAAAAGAGAGAAAAATCGATTTTTTGACTTCTGCCGTTGAATTCAAATTTTGCTTGGTTTTCGGTGACATTTGCTCTTAATTACTTAGCCCACACCAATCCCCATACGCTAACTTTTTGAGACAGTTTTCTTTTTATGCTGAATTTTTATTAACTATTCCTATTTGATACTACACACAAACGATGTCTTGCATTTACCAAAGCAGCACACAGCTACATATAACTCACTACTTCCTGTATCAATAAATATATTGGTCCAGCCAGTATCAATATTTTTCTTTTAAAATGATCTCTTCTAGTTTTAGTTCCAGTCTCTCAAAGACATCATGGAACTTAAGGAATTATTATAAAACAAGAGCTTTCTTTACAGATCTAGAATAATTTTGTAAGCGCAATAAGAAAGGTTTCTCCCTTCCTTCTGGCTGCATAATTTAACAAGTATTGTTATACAGTGTCAGTATGGAAAAATGTTTACAATTCACAGGCAAAGTTTTTAAGCTTTTCAAGTCTCCTCAAAACAATAACTGTTATTACAGTTGAGTTTGGGATGCGGCCAACTATTTTTTGTTTAAGAAGGCATACTAACGAGTCGAACGGGACAATACAAAGCCGAATTGACCCTTTAGCCTCGTTTCACTAGGTCAAAGCGCTGATAACTGTAATAACAGCTACTACTGAAGCCCTGAAGGCTCTGGCTCACGCCCAAAACGCGTAAAGCACTCAGGCGTGACATAATTTTCAGGAGGCTGTTATCTATAGAAATTACTCTACATCTGCATTGACATATCCATCTCGCAGATATGAAATTACAATTTAATCAATACCAACATGGATTAGTTGTATGCGGTCAGCCAATGGGAATAGCGATACATGTAAGAGGCAAAATAAATAAAATACCACAGTAAAATCCCGGTTTTTACCGACCTCAATTCACTAAACTTCCGATGATTTGAAGGAAAAAAAAAATGTTAAGAGAAACGTATGCTCTGTTTCTCATACCTCTCGCCGATATTTTATTTCACTAGGTGGTATGAAAAACTGGGACTTCGCTGTTTTAGCTTTCTGGGGGCTTCCTTTGATTGAGCACCTCCGACCAAACCCTCTCTACATGTAACACTGTAAGGGCTGCTTTATATTCACTCATCCCTGTAAACGACAGAATACACTTTACGTTTGTAAAGCGGTTGTACCGGCCTAATATTGTCACACATGAGACCAGGGGCACCACCATACTTGGCCTTCAGTTTCCTGAACTTACTGAGCTGAAAAGAGCAAAGAGACGAAAGTAGTGTTAGCTAATATGCATTCGTATATTTTCTTTTCTTTACTATTGAGAGGAAGTATTGTATTATTTGCGAGAGTCTGAATGGGGTCAGGCTCAATTCTGTCTTATTTGTCTTTTGGTTATCAGCTGATATTTTTTGCTTAAACGTGACTATTTCAACTATTAATGATCACTACATCAAAAGCTTAAAAATACGGCTCTTCCTTTTCCCTTAACTCGTGCAGCTATGAGATCCACTGTTAATCCAAATCGCATATGATTTTATTGAACTGGATTTTCTCAATAATTGTGGAACAGTGTTTCTCTACAAAGCGCGCAGTCTAGGTAGCAGGACGATTTGATTTAAATCAAGTTTGTCGGTTGCGCTGAATGATCTTCAGTTTTGATTAGGTCAATAATACTGATCCCCACTTTATTTAACAAAGCTACATCACAAATTAAAATCCTTTCTTTCCGGATTATCTATTTCATGCTCATGCAAGAGAGGTTGATAAATAACCCTCTCTTGGCTCATGCAAGAGAAGATAATTTCTCGGCTCGTGCTATTTTTTTTACCATAGTTTAGTCGTCAGTATGCTACAATTAACTAACCTGATTATTAGAGATCTTTATGATGTCCTTAAAGACAATCCAGCGCACTGATTCATAGCAGGGAGGGGTGGTAAGGGAGCCTTGGTATGTGTAGTAACCTATTTTTTTCGATATATCGTCATTATCTTCATCCTCATCATCTTCACCGTCTTCGTCATCGACATCATCGACTACGTCATCTTCGTCTTCATCTTCGTCGTCGTCATCTTGTTTATTATTGTAGGGCATGAGATATTTCAGACGAATGCCGTCTGCTGCGGTAACGTTAGTGCTGGTACCTTTAGAAAAGAATTATAAGTCATTACTTGATTTTTAAATTATTAAATTTGTGTGAAGAGGATTTAGATTAAAGTTTTGACCGCTAGTAGGTTTATTCTAAAATAGTTTGCTTATTCGCTCCCGATTTCTATGCGTGATAGCTGCCCTCGTCAACTATCACGCTATAGAAATCTCGAGCTCTTAATGTAATTGTTTAATAGAAACACAATTTTAAACCAATCAGTGCGCGTGTTTTCTACTAAATCACACACGGGCACTACTGACAGCGATATTGCATTCATTTGCCAAATAATCAATTTAACGAAGTTACTATTCAAAGACGATGTTGGATCCAGCCTTTCATGGCGATCTCCTCCGTTATGAGAAATAGTCCAATTTTAATTAATTTTACTATTCTTCTTTACATATCTGTGTGTTTTTGTGACGATTGAACAGCAATTTAGAGATCAACAATTACAAAGCTTATCATCTAAACCAGTAAAGTTACCTACCTTCTTCTATTATCATCTTTAGCTTTTTTGCAAAATTTCCCAAAATCCTGTTTCCCGGACAAGTGGCCTGTGATAGAAAACAAAAACGTGCCAAAACATTTGAGAATGAAAATCAGCGATAGTACAAACAGAACGACATTTGGATGATCATCATTAAGTTTATCAGGAACATGAAACCAAACTTAACACGCAGTCAGATTCCTTCTCATCAAAATCTTTAAATAACAGTTGAAAACTTAAAAAATCCAAGTATATTCATGCCATTTTGGACGCTCATATTAAATACACTAGAGTATTAAAATGTTTGTCAAATATTTGTATTTGACATTGCTGTATTCAGAATCATTAGCTTACAAATTTAAATTTGATTTTTGTAAAGCGCTACTAAAGATTTTAAAATGATATGTATTTATTATTGAATAATAAAACCAAGATCAGGTTTCAAAAGAAATTGTGGGTAAGTCGTTCGCTCGGTGAGTGCTGATGACTGGAAGTATCTCAAAAAGAAGCAGAAAATATTGAACTGGGCAAATATCTTAGATTTCATTAGCGGAAATCATAATTATAAAGTTATGGTTTTCGTTTCGTATGCTAGTGTTTTTGACGAGTTTGTTCTCATGTTTTGGTTAGAGCTACATTTTGTAAATGAACTTAAACAATATCACCTTAGAAAAATGAAACGGAAATATTCACCGAAATGAGGACTCCCAGAACTGCTAGACCGTCTGGTTTATCCACGGCGTTACTAAAGGTGTCGTATTTGTTGTTATAAAACACTAAATGGAGCTAAGATAAAAAGAAGGAAAGGTAAATTAGTAAATAAGTGAACACGAAAATAAAAGCAAAAGTAAAAATTGATGATGGGAGATTTTCATGCATAAGCAGACGTTTTATAAAAATAATCTTTGAGAAGTACATGTAAGAAATGAATATAGTTGTGCGATACCTGAGCAGCGTAAGTCTTGTTGTTAACAGTGTGTTCTGATCCTCGACTGTTTTCACAACCGAAGTGAAAGTGGAACTGTTGCAGAGTATATTCGTCGCACTCCAGGGGACCCCCAGAGAGTTTAGCGCCACCTTTTGAGTTGTCAACGTTGAAAGCAGGAGCATGGCCACCATTTACAATCTGTCCAGTTACCAGGCCACATGGGTTGTCAAAAGTTACCTTTAGCGGGGAGTAACTTTTTTTCTTTGCCATCTTCGTAACGATGTTGACTGGAGACTGAAATTTTCCAGCACACAGTGGGTAAACTGAGGACCAGTTTTCAGGAGCTGGAGCTAAAGAAAACCATCAGAAACTTAGTATTATTCTTTGTCGTTGTCATTTCTCGTCAATTTGTAAACCACGCTGAAAAACTGAACTACTTCAAATATATGGGGTATCTTTTACATAATTTACATGTATATAAAATTGCATGTGTAGTAAAGTATTTTACGTTTTACGTGGAGTTCACCTAATGGTTCCAATTTCCATCAAGCCCCTTTGTTTGTTTTCATGTTTCTCGGCAATTGCGCTGATTATTTCAAAGAGGGACCTACAAAACGACTCTTCACTTCCTACCCTAGTAAGCCTTTGGCGGCAAGAGGAGAAGGAGAAAGAACCTAGGAAACGAAAATTCAGTATTGGCGACGGACCAGACCTTCTAATACAACCACTGTGGCATGTCATGCCTGTCTGGCTAGGTCTTTCCAGGCACGAGTGTCCTTGCAGCAGACACAGATAACTCCCTTCTTAAATCATCGTTGGCGACGCCAAACCGAGAAAGACGGATCCTATTTATGTGCTTTTAGCGTTTAAAATGTCTACAGTCTTAAAAATGAATTACTGTAAAGTACAATGGTATGTAATAACTTTTCATTAGAGTGTAACTTGAAAGTTTGCAAAAGTTCATATTTAACTTCTTGTAATGTCAGCGAGGTGAAGCAAAAATAAAATAAAATAAAATAAAAAACAGAGAGACAGAGTAGAAGCAAAAGTAACGAAATGAAGGGACAAAACAAAACAGAGAAGGTCGAAATGCTAGTCTGTGTTTACCAAACATAATAAAAGGTTTACCTTTTAGACCACTGAACGGTGCGTAGGCATAATCCTTACCTAGACAATAAGAAAAATAAAATAAAACAAAAAATAAATCAATAAATAAATAATTAAGTGAAAGATAAAAATAGAGGAATAACTGATCAGGCAAAATATATTCTTTAGTGAATCCTGTGTTAAGGCAAAAGCAAAGTAATATATCTCAGACTCCTTGAAATAATTATAGATTGATATTAAGCCTCTTTTTCTTGAATTGTAATATTATCCCTAGGTAACGTTTGATTATGTTAAATATGTAGAGTGTCGCGTAATGTGCCCAATCACAGGGTAGTCAGGACACCCAGAACACAAGCGTAAGCACAAACACTTATTGGTAGTGAGGACGCCCATAACTCAAACATAGCAACAAGTACACGGTAGTGAGGACGTCCACAGCACAAACATAAACACACGCGGTATCGAGGACTTACACAGCACAAAACATAAGCATTAGCACTAGAAAGCATTTGTTCTTCTTCTTCTTGTTACGAACTGATATATACAGCCAAGGGATTTGCAGGTTTACGGTGAATTACTTATTATTAACCAAAATACTAGGAAATGTTGCCGTGCAGTTACAGCTTACCTTTCTGGCAAGCAACTGCACCAATCATAGAAAGTAGCCACAGAAAATACATCGCGGCAATACGAGGTCTGAAAATATTACAGAATTGGTTAACATACAGAAAGAAAATACAAGTGACTATATGAAAGATCATGCATTTGAACTGCGTTGAACGATGTGAAGACATGACTGATCATCGCAGTTATACACACAACTGAAGCACTTGTAAAATTAAAGCGTGAAATAATTCAGGCCAGAACGGGATTCGAACCAATGACCTCTGCGGTGCCCGTGCTGTGCTCTACCAACTGAGCTATCAAGCACACTGGGAGCTGGTCACACTGTGAGTTCGTAATACTCATAGATGGTGAAGAATAGAGAGACTTTCAGGCTTTTGTAATGCAACTGTAATATCCCAATTAACTGTATCCTTCTATTTTGAAATTAAATAATTATACTCATTCAAAGGGCCAGGTTGAATTACCTCAGACCATGCCTTTGTAGGTATGGCAACCGGTTTGAAACTGTTTGTATGGAATAATTATCTTAAATTACAGTGGTTTTACGAAAGAAAATCGTAGTTGCGTAATGGTTTTGCATAATGACGCTCGTGTACGTTTTCCTTTGGTTTGCGTCCGCAAGTCTATTGTCTGTGTTATTATTGGCCAAAATAATCGACCTTTTCAGCTTGGGCGGTTTGTTCTCCCATGACAGACCAGGTTCGTGGCACTCTCTAAAAAATTGTTCTTTTATCTAAAATGACTCATACCGTACTCACAACTAGGTGAAATCATGTTATAACATGCACATGGTCGGTAATGAGGCAACAAACGCACAAGCTAAAAAGATCTGTTATTTAGTTTTTTCGAATAAAACTTGAATAATTTTACAGGGAATTATAGAATATCGTTCGGTGAAAAAGCGTTCGTAGCGTTTCGCCATGTTATTTAAATCGCATGAAACTTTATTCAAATCCTGTAGAAAATTAGAATCAAGACAAATCACCCTTCGTGGGAATGAGCATTAAGTATATCGATCTGCACTTTTTCATACTGATATCACAACTTCGTTTCATTTTGTCCCTCCCTTGTAAAAGTAGAGTTTCCAGGTTTGTCCCTGTTTTCCACTCGCTTAATGTGTTTTAATTAAACTCCTTCCTTGGTGTGTATTTTCTTTGGTATTGTGTTTAAGCTATGGACAGACCCTTTCCTAACATGTACATAACTATATCGATAGCTTATAATAAATAAACTGCGAAAATAGCCGGTTCCTCGACGTATTTAGCTTTCGAGAATGATAAACTTCTAAATGGCTAATTTCTAGTTTGCCTGAATAAAACAGTTAAGTGAAACCAACCGCGCCCACGGGAGAATTAGAAAGATCGTTGGTAATTCATAATATTATATTGAATTGAGTTTTTTTTCAAAAGGCCCTAGCTTTGTAATTACATCTACGAAAAGAAGCGCTGCTAAGATTAGTCCGATTTTCGCCCCATTTTAATGACCAAGTGCCTAAACAGAGGCAATTGGAATTGGTATCTCAAGCTAAACATTATAAACTTGCCAAAATTTAACATTTCCAAAAAAAAAAAATGAGTGCTGGTTCTAATTTCGTTTTAATACTCTTTTCGGGAGCATTTACTTTGCACAGCGAAATTTAGTAACACTTATCGTTGCGAGCTTTCTAGGCTTTTTTAGTTGAGTCTTCTTTGTTAAAAGAGAAAAAGAAAAAGTCAAAGCGGTCAAACAATGACAAATGATTGAATCCTCTACTCAAAGCAGAAATACTTTTTTAGTGAAAGAAAATGCTACAAAATTCTCTGTCTTGTTCCTATTTAAATTGGATGATAACCAATTCGTTACTTACTTGATTTTCCCGTAGACGTCTTTCCAATGTTGTTGTTGTTTTCGCTGGCTAGTTTCAATGAAATTGTTTTCTGTCTTGCAGCAGCGTAATTTAAAGGAATTGGGTTACTCAGAATAACTGTCGTCATTAATTATGTCATTAACTGTTGCCAAGTAAATATTGCTTGAAAAACCATGACTCACAAATTCAATGGTCCTAAGTACCTCTACTCTTGATTACTTCAGAGAGCTATAATGATATTCTATTTGGCAAAGGAGTTTCCTTTATAACGAGAATAAATTTTGTTTTACCTCTTCGCGGATTTTGTTCTTCAACGGCATAATGTGAAGTAAAATTTAACTCCGGAAAAAATAAAATAGAACAGTATTCTTTTATTGTGCAATTGAAAACAATTTTTATTATCCTACCAAAGCCTAGCGTATTTCATGAATAGAATACAACCTTAACATACCCCAAGGTAATGGGGGTTTCCGATTGGACATGAACAAACTCTATGGCTTTATAAGGCAAGTTGTTCCTATTTAGTTAACGCTATGCACGTGATCTCAGCGTGTATGTATTCTAGATCTTTTGACTTTAGTACGAGCATCATACCAATTTTTTGTTTTAAACATCTTTCAAGCATTAGGTTTAGTCGGGTAACGGTAACTATTATTAAGGATGATTAAGGCGAAATGGTTTTAAAACATAAACAAACTAATGACCAACTAACATATTTGTAAAATATGGTGTAACTGTCTTCATTAACTCGATGATCAGTGGACATATAATTTGAAAAAAAAAAATTGTCGTTGCGCTATATTTTTCAGCCAAAAAAATGTTTAATATAGGTCCACAAAGTTAAGTTCTTGAAGAGATATCTGCGATCTCTAAAACGTTAGACAGTATCTTTACTCTCTCGTTATTACTTTTTTTGTTTATTTTGACAGTAGTTTTTCATTGTGATTCGAACTTCTAAAAAGCAAAGAAACTCTATTTAGGACTTGGGAAATTGAGAAACTCTGTTTTTCTAAATACTTTTGATATCGATATAACATTTTCATTCTGTTATTCTAGAATATTTGGAGCTCTTGTCTGGAGCGTAATATCCCTTAGCAGACACGTAATTCAATATAAAACGGATGAACGTCAAAAGTCAAAAGTGGTTTTCGTCATAATAATAATAATCCATGCTTTTCTAGGAGTCGAGGAACAAATACCGGAGCTCTTCCTCGGTAAAAAATCAACACGAATCTCGCGTGCTTAGATAGTGTTGAGCATTTCTTACAGAGTGACGGAAGAGTGAACTAATTTGTGATATCGATTGAAGTTTCAATAATATTTCCGTGAGAACGATCAACGTAATAGTTTGTTTCAGGAAATTACCACTGACAAAAACTATCTTGCTTTCAAATTGGAATTCCACACAAAGCGCTCAATTTTTTTGGTAGTACTCCCCCCGGGGGGGGGGGGGGTTTGAAAAACTTCGTTTCCAAAATGTACCTTCGTCTACACTAAAACGCAAAGCCGACGTTTCCAAATTCCTTCGGTTTGTAGAGCGTTTTCGAAAAACTCTTTATCGTGACGGATTAGTGTGGACGGTAGCCTAACCGTAGAAATAAAGCGGCGTTTTCAGATTTCTCAAGCGTAGTGTGGACGAGGCCTTATTTACTTGCTTATGGTTGCTAATTAACTTGCTTGTTGCTACCTGCTCCTTGTTTTCGTCTTGAAATAACTCACTTCCTGGGTTCAAATTTTTCAAGAGACAAACACAAGTGGAACTCAAGTATGTTCTTGCACAGTCATATATCTATAATTTCTTCCGTACTGTATCGCAAGCGTGCTACCTTTTACTCATAAACGTTCCATACGTCAAATTAAATTTTAAATTGTAAGCCGATATCTTGACAAATAAACGTCTTTCACCTGAGGAGCTTCGTCTGAACAGAACTCGTTTGCAAGTTACAGTTTTGGAACTGTAATTGTGGCAGCTCCCTCATATTGGTTTTAGATGTGAATTTATTTTAGGTTCTGGCAGCTTTAATTAGATTGTGATAATCGAATCAACACCGATATACTCACTTCCTAAAATGTCGATAGTGTAATGGGAACGCAAAGAACTGTTGGTAAATTTGATAGATTTCAATAGGTTCTACCTTGAGCTTAATTAGAGACCTAATGAACCTCAACCTACTTGGACTTGAGGCTAATATAACGCTCCATTAATTAAATATATACAATGACTAATATACATAAGTATTGGTGCACATAAGAATCTTAAAAATATGAATCAATGACCCACAGAACAATGTATATTTTCGATTTCTGATTTCCTTAAGAAAGCTTATTTTAAAAATTATTAGGTATATTAGTCAGAGAGAACTGAAAACATTTCTAAATTTACTTTTTATAATTACATTTTCTTT